CATTCGTGGACTTTTCGGCCGCCCAACCAACTGGCGCTGGGACTGATCTCAATGACCGAGCCGGTGTGAAGCTACAGTGCGTGACCGATCTGATGAAATGTTGACCGAAATTCTGAAATGCGCTTTCGGTCAGGAAAGATTGCTTACGTGGGGCTGTAATGTTCTTTGTCGAGCGACGTAATCTCATAGTATTTCGTACCCGTCAGGTTTTCAGCTTTTGAATGCACTTCTTCTCGACCTCCTATGGAAGCTACACCCGGTAAAAATGACTTCTTCTGCAGCACGTGTTTTTTACATTTACTTTATACTGTCTTACAAATTCAAATATTTTTTAATGGAGAACATGCGCAAATTGTGCTTGATTTTACTTGGTTTGTATAAAATAACATTGTCTTTATATTTTATACCTGAAGAAAGCGCATATTTTGGTTCTGAAGAGGTTTGTAATTATGCGATTTTTAAGATTGTGCGATGTCCACACATACGGCGTCGCACGTCTCCGTTTACCAAAGCTCCTCGTAAAACGAATGACATAGCCCACATCCATTGAAATACCTTCTTAAAAGCATAAAGAAATATATGCATTTTCCTATGCGAAAATCATGCGCTTTGTGGACTGGAATCGCTAAATGACAATGCAATGGTTGATCTGGCCCAAAAATCTGGGGGATTGGGAAATTTTTTCAGAACCTAAATATGTGCTTTCTTCGGGTATAAAATATAAAGACAATGTTAGTTTATACCAACCAAGTAAAATAAAGCACATTTTGAGCATGTCCTCCGTAAAAAAATATTTGAATTTGCAAGACCATAGAAAATAAATGTAAAAAACACGTGCTGCATAAGAAATCGCTTTTTACCGTGTGTGACTTCTATAGGAGGTCAAGAAGAAGTGCATTCAAAAGCTGAAAACCTGACGGGTACGAAATACTATGAGATTACTTTGCTCGATAAAGAACATTACAGCCCCACGTAAGCAATCCTTCCTGATCAAAAACGCATTTCAGAATTTCGGTCAACATTTCATCAGATCGGTCACGCACTGTATAGACCGAGGCGCACTAACAAATTAAAATTTATGAATGGCAGTAATTATGAGTTCGCTTGCCGGCCGATAGACGCGTATTTGGAGTCGTTGGAACCCATTTTATATTTATGGTATCCATAGCGTAGCCAGCCGTCAAATGTGAAACTTCGATTGGAAAGGTTGGTGAGCTATACTGCGTGTAGCATTACTGTAGCACGTCCATGATTTTCAAAAATTGCTTGGGGGAATTTCGCCTAAAACTTATTTAAATGGGTGCTCAAAATTTTTATGAGATGGACTCAGCACGTTAGAGACGAAACACTGTATTAAGACTTTATACGATTAAAAATCAATTAATTTCTTTAGGTGCAACCGACTGCGACGCATCTCGATGTTTATTCTCAAATTGTTTATGGAATTAGTATCCTAAGAGTTTTCAAGGAAAGATGCCTTTAAAGGCTTACTTTAATTAATGTTTGCGGACAAAGCCTATAAGCTAGCGTTTTTGGGAACACTCCCAGATAGCTGTCCGTTTGTTAGGTTTCATGGTTCTGCGTGAACGTCTATGGTAAAATAAGTAATAATAATTGATTAATTATTTCCCAACGAATCTTCACAACAAACAATTTCAAGTTACCTGTAAGTTTGACACTATTTTGCCAGCATGCATTTGCAATTCATCAAACACATGCGTAATGACCCTGCCGTCAGTATCCTAATTCATGAGTGTATCTCTACAAACATGCACACATATAAGATGACATTTCGACCGTCGTGCCCGACAATGTCCACGGTATGTTCCACAGTAAGGTGAGAGCAGGCACGTTGACTTGTGCATGAATTAGTTCACAGAGTAAACTTGCCCAATATATGCCGCACTCTATCCTCCTCCCCACTCGGACCCGTTGTTATGACACGGACGAGAAGACGAGAGGTGAAGGAGGTCGCAGGTGGCCGGCACGTTTGGACCCGCACCTAGGCGTACTACCATACGCTCTGGTCTACAACAAACACTTGACTAGGAATTTAGCCAACAGCAGCAGCATCACAGCGAGTCAGAAGGATGAGGATGACTGCGCAGCCATGGCCACAACCGGCATATCCGGCGGGTGTGCAGCGACCTACTGGCAAGCAACCAGTTGCCAGAGAACTGCCAGAGCACACCAAGATGCGAGGACCGCGGTTTGCTGGTCATGACATAGCAGACGCTTACAACATACAAGGTGCCAATATCGTCGAGCGCCTTAAAAATTAACTAAGGCACCAAAACTTATGCTTAAGGCAATCCTATTACAGCAAACGCAAATTATCCATATAACCGACTGCAGAGACTGGCAACTGCAAAAGTAGGTGGCAAATTGTGTAGAATTATCGTCGAACACTTATTAACAAGCTCAAGTCAAAAGTTATGCTACTTTTGATAAACCGTTGCAGATCATAATTAACGAACCAGTGTCAAAAAGTAGCATGCACACAATCGTGCGCTGGTAGTTTGTCTATTGCAGACGATCTAGCACCCACTCGATAAAGCAAATGGAACGATGAAATATATTAAGTTGCTTAACCAAAGTCATCGAGCACCGATGGATAGCCCGAGTCAAAACAACTAGAAACAGCTTTTCCTTAATTTCAAGAAAAAGGTCACAATAAGATGGGCGCAGACCTCATCCTAGCGAATACCGTAAATGTTGCTTCGTCTGAGACCTATCGACCTGAACCCCAGTCCTGGGTAGAATTAAGTTTTACATTCAGTTGGCAACGTTTTGCGTCACTTATGCACAGGCTATCAAGCAGTGGCTTGTGTTCGACCGCCTTCACGCTCACTTTTTTCGCCACTACACCAGTTTTCTGTGTCAGTAGAGTTGGGCAAAACATTACTACCTGACATATAGTCTATGCACATGAATTGGTGGAACCGCAAAAACCCCCATACGTGATGAAACGGTTCGAATTAAGATGTGTGCAATAATTCTAAATACGCGAGTACTTACAGTGGTTCTATTATGAGGCAAAACAAACAGAAACATTTCTCTCCACAAAGGCTAGAGCACATAGCCACGACTGAGCAGTGAATTCCCACAATCCCTCATGTTGCTGTTGATATGCGGACAGAGTCAAGAAGAGTCATCCCAAATACAGTCTCAGTTACCTGAGTAAGGATCCAAATTAGTATTTTATGCAGTGTCAATGTGTTCTGAGAGAGAGAGATTACATGAAAATCCCATTACAGTCGTTGACGGACCAATTTATAATTCATATACTCTCAACTTGTCAGTTAAACCTCATAATAATGGTCAAAATGTTGATGATGCATTTTTCCCTTTGGTGGACGACGTACTTTGAAACTGATTATAGCCTACCCTATGCAACCCTGACAGCCGAAAACGGTGGCGTACCGACAATGACGACAAGGACAAGGGGAGACCGAAACGGTCATTTCTGGCTTATTAGTCGTCGTCAGCCAGCCATGTCCAACGCCGAGGTTTTCATGGCAAAGTCTGCCTTTATCCTGTTTTCTCCTTTGGCTCATATTGCTCAAGGGATTCATTTGGCACTAGATGGAGTTTTAAAAATGCCGGTTAATCTGGCACTAGAGGGTTAATTAAGCGAGAACTGCCATTGA